GTCATTTGCATAATGACCGAAACTGACACCACTGACTAACAATGGCCTGTGAGGTCATGATGCTTATGACTATGAGTACCATACACAGAGAGTTGGGGGATGGCTGCAATCAGAGCACTGTAAGATGGTACCCTCTTACCCTCTCTGAACAGAGGAGACCCACTCTTCGTGTTTCAGAGTAGATTTGCCAGTTCATAAAACATGTGGCTTGGAATCCAGCTCCTTTATTGAAATTAAGCGCAAATAACACTTCAGCTCCTGTTTCTATGTAAAGTGCAACAAGAAATAAATTAGATAATAAAGAGATCGTCATCTGCTAAACATGTAATGTAACATATATTTGGACATGAACTTATTTTCCTGCTGCTAATTTCTTAAACCTAATACAGAGAAATAAGTACTTAAAATAAACATAATCTAAAACAACCATGAGGCCTCAATACCTTACTGCTTGCTATACATATACACAGTGCATCCACTGAAATGTGAATGCCTTCGTTTCCTCCATGCTGATATTGGAGAAGGTACATATTAGCGTACATCTTTCCCAATCTTACACTGCTGTGATTGTAGTCATTCCCCACCTCTCTGTGAATGGTACTCATAACCACAGGTGGGAAAAGTGCAGACATTCTGTATTTAAGTAGAAGTACAGGTACCTGTGTTAAAAAAATACTGCAGTATTAGTTGAATTACTGAATTAACTTCTTTATGCAAGTAAAAGTGACAAAGTACCTAAACAGGAAAATGGGTACAGTCAGGGGTTAAAGTGAGATCTGCCATGTAGGGGAAACTGTAGTCTTGTCACAACTAACCATAATTTCTAATGTGAGCTCTAGTAGATTTTCTTTGTGTACATGCTGTAATCCGCTGACCTACTGCTCTTTGTGGATTTACACAACTGAATTTGCCACCATGTACAGTTTCAAGAGCCAGCTTGGCTGAGTTCCATTTTCTGCACTAACAGTAAACTTGATAATGTCTTTACACAAGACTATAGTTGGTAAAAAAAAAAGGGAAATTCACATTTATTTTCACTGCTGTAAAAATAAAACAGCGTGATTCTAGCTTTGTTTGTTAGTGTGTAAAACAAATCTGACGACAACTCCCAGAAAGCTCAAACTAAGGTGACCCAGCCCCCAAACAACTACAAACCTTTGTGGTTATCACAACAAGCAGTGTTTTGTGCCTAATTACTAAGCAATTTAAACAACCTAATATATGTTAACAGGGTGAAAATAGTGTTTGCTGAAGGATGTACGTCTTAAGGCAGCTGCAAACGCGCTGACAAAGCGCAGAATAAACAGAGAAACGTAAATATTAGTGATGTGCGGATCGATCCTGAAATATCGATTCCTCCGATACCAATCATTTATGTTCTAGAATCGATTCTCACATTAAAAATATCGATATTTTAGTAATTTAGGGTAAATTTGTAGTTTATCATTAACAGGAACACAGTGGAAAGAAACTATAACATTCGGATTTTCTACATTCAAAGGAACTACTTCCTCTTCCGCCTTTCATAGTCATGGGCGAAATACGGCTGTATAAATGTCTCGCAGCCCCTTGGCGCGCGCACTCACAACAATGGCTGAGCGTAATTGTGCGGATGTATTTTACCTCCACAAACAGCTGAGACGTGGTTTGCGATACATGTGGCAAAAAGTGCTCCAAGAGTGAGGTGTTGTGGCCATACTTGCCAACCTTGAGACCTCAGAATTATGGAGATATTCAAAAGGGCTGTCACCGTTATTATTGACCGGCCTGGAAACAGCAGGAGTGTCCAAATTCAGAGGTTGCTTCCACCTGAGGACTCGGCCTTCGTGGTCTAAAGAAAGCCGGGGTACGTCATGCGCTTCCTCGGTGGAGTGAAACTCTGCCATCTGCTCCTTGCTCTCTAATATAACCGGGCGCTGACGTAAACTCTCCACCGTCTCTCACTTCTGTTTAATCATTTTCAGTTTGACGTTTATTCAGCTGTGTGGAATAATAAAGTTACATTTAATTTAATCTAATCTAATAACTTAAATCTCAGCCAAACCGATTTACTCACGAACAAATAAAACACTGAAAAAGCCAAACAATAACATTTTTAAGTTATCAAAGTG